CTCTCTCTCTCTCTCTCTCTCTCTCTCTCTCTCTCTCTCTCTCTCTCTCTCTCTCTCTCACACACACACACACACACACACAGAGAGAGAGAGAGAGAGAGAGAGAGAGACATACTATACAAATAAAAGTACTCTACACATAAAAGAATATAATTTTAAAAGTCGTCAATAAGTTATTTCACTCAGACTATCTTTACAGCTATACTTTAGATAATACTAATTAATTTTAATTATTTTAATGATATACTAACTATATGCTTCATCACCTCACTTTTACAGTTGGAGGTTAGAAGTTGTAATATTGGGAATTTGGGTTTAGACCTGCTATATTGTTTTCCTGGTAGAGTCTATTTCTTTCACCCTAAATAGAGAAACAACAGTAGACCAAATAGATTATACCATCTGAGTCTGATTTGGTGAACTGGTGAATTCTTGAGAGTGACCTACAGAATCATGGGTAACGGGTTATTTACACTAAGCTGGATGACTGGGCAACTGAATCATCATACTGCTGCCCAGTATAGAGTGAGCACATGAAAGCTACATTTCTGGAGTTCCTGTGTGAATTTTAGGCAGTTACACCCATGGAAGACACACACACACACACACACACACACACACACACACACACACACACAAATTGGTTTCCACATAAATATATTTGGTAAGAGGTATTGTCAACTTCTGGAGATTTCTGAGCCTTCTGTGCCTCCTCTGTAACTCCATGAATTTCACTCTTGATTGAAACAAAAACATAAATAAAACCACATCAGAGACCAAAATATTAAAATTTTTCTAGTCTTTTCTATGTTGAAATGAAGTAAAGCCAAATATAATGACATATGGCTATAAAGCTTCAGTGATTGAGAGTGAAAATCATAAGCTCAAGACTGACATTGGCTACATTTAGATATTGTCTCAAAAACAAGAAAGAAGGATATGGAGAGACAAGGCAAAGCGAGAGGGCTTCAATCTATGTGAAGACTTGTGCATCTCTTTTATAATGCTGCGGTGAAGCTCTGACATGTAGAACATAATAACCTATTTTCTTCATTGATTAAACACAAAGTGTTATAACATGAGGTCACCTTCCACTTTAGGACCTAACATAATTCCATTTCTGTTATGGAAATATGGAGAGAGCTGTCCAGTGTCCTTTGGGCATGTAGAGGCCAAGGAAGAGAATAAAAAGTTTTCTGAGTCACGTCCTGACCTGTCCCCCTGTCCCCCAGTGGCTACCCCTGTGGGCTACTGAAAGATGCTTCTGTTGGGAGACCGCCGCTCAGAATGGCCCTCTGTGGTCCCATCCCATTTCAGTGGCTTCTCCCAGCACCCAAGCACATCTTAGGACTTTCCTGATTCCTGCGTGGCAGATTTAATTCTCTTCAACAACACAAGGTGGCAGAAAGCACAGCCACAGCAAGAGCCGGAGCACCACAGGGAAGGAAGGAAGAGATCCAGGAAGAGGGGAGAGGAACATGAGATACGGGGAGACTGCAGTGTGCCTGTCCTTGGTGGGTCTCAGCATCCTGTCTAAGCCCTCTGGATGCCAGGAGTGTTTCCCCCAGAATGCCACCCAGAGCATGAAGTAGGGCTCCTCTGGGTCACAGTGGAATCCTCCACTGGACTAACAAAATTTGCCGAGTGAGTCATTGTTGAAGGTTGCTATGGAGACAGATGAGCAACCATGGTGCTGATGTGATGGGAGGCTGGGTTCAAGTCCCAGCTTAGCCACGTCCTTGATGGTTGACCTTGACTTTGGGCCCCATCTCTCCAGGCATCAGTTTACTTTTACATTCAATGAAACGGCCCATCACTCTCCAACCCCCTGCCCCCGGAAGTCTCAGCTTCCCAGAATGGGAATAGTAAAGGTGGGAGGGGTGGGGAGGCACAGAGGAATACAGAACGAGATGGAGTGTTCCGGGATGGGTGGGAACGTCTCCCAGGCTGCAGCATGGGTGTTCTGGGTGTGTGAGGAGCAAGGAATGCTTTGGTTTTATTTTAGTTGGTGTAGTTTTGTTTAAATTCGACTTCGATTTTGGGGGGTGTGCTTCTCTCCCACTTGTGAGGATCCCCAGAGACTGGTGTTGTTCTGCCTATGTGGCCCTCAGGACCCCTCCTCAGCTATCCCCATCCCCTGGATCCCCAGCTGCCTCCTTGTTTCAGCTGGAGAGACTATTGCTTATGGTCCAGTCTGTGTGTGCTTGCCCTGCTGGCGTACCTCTTGGGGGGCTGCCTCAGAGCTGCACTGCATTTCCCCAGGAGCCATAGACTGCCCACCCCTTACTTACTTCAGGAAACCCAGACGAGTTTTGCTGACCCCCTCAAAGTCTTGTCCTTGTCTCCCCTGAGACTCTGAGAAGTATCACATGAGGACCTGAAGTTGAACAAAGGAGGAACTAGAAGAAAGAGGGCCAATCCCATGCATTACTATTTCAAGTAGATGAAGAGCAGGATGGGGAGGCACACACACATGCTCACATGGATGTGTACAGAAAGCAGGATGAGGAGGCACACACATATGAACACATGAATGTGTACAGAGAGAGAGAGAAAGAGAGAGAGAGAGAGAGAGAGAGAGAGAGAGAGAGAGAGAGAGAGAGAAGAAAGGAATCAAGTCCTCCTCCTCTCTGTTCTCTGCTTCTGGGATGAGACATCATCACATCCAGACTCGGTGGGCCCATGCGATTGTTGCTGAGAATCCTGAAAGCACAACCCACCCAGCTCCTGGGGTATTCATTCCCGCAGTATTCCTGGGACTCTGCCCATGAGAATAGTCATGACCAGCTTTGGGGCTCCTAGGGCACCTTCAGTTTTCCTTTGCCAAAATCCCACAGGAACGGGGCAGGGCATTTTCATTCCCCCCTCCCCCCGCCCCGCCGTGTCCCTGGCACGCTGACTTTTCCCTTTCAAACACCAATGAAAGAGGCAGAGCTGCCAACCCTTAAACACTGATCTTGAATGGTTCCGCCACACTCTTGAGGGGCTGGTAGACTACAGAGGAGTAAAGGGACCGATGCTTACGGAACGGGTCCTGGGGGCAAGCTTAACCAGGGCGCGTGCACATAGGCGTGGTGTAGCATGACCGTAGAAGTTAGAGGACAGCTTGAAGTTGGATCTTTCCTTCCACCGTGTTAGGCTCTAGGGGTCAAACTCAGGTCATCAGCCTTGGTGGCAAGACCCTTCACAAGCTAGGCCATCTCACCGACCCCACTTTATTTTTCTGAGACAAGGTCTCTCATTGAATGCAGAGCTTGCTATTTTGGCTGGGCTGGCTGGCTACAGTTCTTGAGCGCCTCCTGTCTCCTCCCTCCGTCTCTCAGGTTGCAGGCATGCCACCACGCCCTGCATTTATGTAGGTGTTGGGTGCTTGTGTTTGTGCAGCAAGCAGTTAACCTACTGAGCTATTGCCACCACCCCTTCTTTTGTTTCTTGGACCCAATGCTGATGCTGAGCCTGACAAAACGATTTTGTTAAATTAACTAGAACACATGGCTTGTGTTGTGGGCTGCATGCCAGAACTGACCGTCCCTCTCCTAGTTTTTAACTTTTGTTGTTTGAGTGCAATGGAACCCAGGGCCCACCTCCAAGAGCAATAACCCCATCCCATTGATGTGCATTAGCTGGGAGGTGACATCCAGACCCAGGTTATAGTGTCCCCATCAGCATTGCATCTAATGAGTCCATGCAGCGACAGCTACTCCTAGATCATTACATCGCCAGAGCTTACAAAATGGTGATGGTTCTGACTTTGTCTTCCTTCCAGCACTGACTGAATCAAATCTTCCTGAAAATCGTTAATAATAATACATTTTCCTCATTAGTTATGGCCACCTATTTATCTTGTTGTGATTGCACAGGTGAGCCTGGGTTTAATTACTTCTTGCTCATAATCATTAACCGCCAATTTTCCGAGAAAGCGCTGGCGTCCTAGATCCAGCAATGACCAATGATGGCATGTTCCCCGGTCACTGTGAATTCTCTCTTCTTCTACTCCCCATGACTTTAACTTACCTCCAAGATGTTAAAAGGACATTGACGGGAGAGAATGAGTTCCCTTTGTCCCTCTGAGTCTCTCACTGTGTTCCTTGTAGGTCTGTATTTCTGTGGGTTCCACACATGACCCCCTTCTGGATTCACAACTTATCAGAATAGCTCGTGGAGGGAAGAAAGGATGCACTCAAGGTCACTGTTTATTATAAAGCATAGAAATGAATAGCCAAATGTGATATGTAGTGTAGAAGTCCAGGGAGTTGATAGACCCAGGAGCATCTATCCCCACGGAGGCATGACGTTACCTTTCTTGATACAATGGGATGTTTCTTGATGGGGCAACTTCTAGAACCTCCTTATCCAAAGACGTTGATGGGGTCTCAACACTTAGGGGTGCCTGGTCCCATCATTGGTCATAGGCTTGACCTCTAGCCCCACCCCTTCCCTGTAGAGGGACCACATCTCATATTCTGGCCCTCTAGTCACTTGTCTGGGGTTCCTTCCTGGGCAAGCCCCTTCCTTGAAACTCTCTGAGGGCCCAACTTGAGTCACCTCAATAGCTTATATCTAGAGATGACAAAGGAGTCCTACAGAAGTAAACGCCCTGGGTGCTGCGGTTCTATGACGAGAAGTGATACAGGGGCCGGCCTGGCCCTCAGTGTGTCAGAGCCAGGGAGAGAAGGGACAGCCTTGTGTGAGGATGCATGGGGCTAAGCCCTTATGCACCAATGGAGTTGAAATGCTGGGATGAGGGCCCTGGACAGCCAAGAAGGTAAGCGCAACTCTCAAGGCTAAGGCAGGAGGTATCACCCAGCCTTGGTGTGTGAAGTTTTGTATAGGACTACCCTCTGAGACAAACTACCACCATCTTCAGGGGTCGACCTGAGCCGGCTCATCCGAGAACATCACAGCTGGGCCTGCTGACGGTTTGTCTTCCCCCTTGGAAGAGGGGTGTGGGAAGGTTAAGGACTCTTGTTTGAGAATTCAGCAACCAGTTTCAACCAGCTGTATGCTGCTCTGCCCTATTTACACGTGGTCTCTGGGAGGGGTTAGAGGATATAAGGGGAAAGATGAAGGGATAGGGTGCCCTCCAGGCAGCCCTGGGGAAGCCACCACTCATGGTGGCTGTGGACATTCCAGTGCAGCAGAGTTAGAGTCACCTCAGCCCCGCCCGTGACCCCTCACCCACATGCTGCAGGCAAACCCAATGAATTCCTTGGTTCCTCACACCTTGGTTTGTCCAGGGACCTTAGGAGGAGGGGTACATGTTGTTTACATTTCCCCAAGAGAAGGGGTTTTAAAAGCAGGGGTGGAGGGAGAGGGTTGGCTGTCTGCTGGGCTGGACACCTCTGCATCCACACAGGCAGGGAAGGCCTGTGGGTGGAGGGAAGAGCTCAGCAAAGACGCAGTGAGAGACTGAGAGCTAACTGGGACTGCTGGAAATGAAGGGCAAGGGAGGGGCTCAACCTTGGTGACACAGAATGAGTCCTGAGCTGAAGAGAGGCCTGGAGAGAAGGAAACAGGAAAAAAAATACCAACAAACCCAACACCATAATAGAATGGGAACACAGCACGCTGCATAGAGGCAAGTATCTCTGAAGTTCACTTGCACAGAGGGGTGACCATAATGTGAGACCCTGGGGTGGGAGGAGGAGCAGATCCGAAGTCTTGATTTCAAGCAGAGCCTTCCAGGAGTGCAGGAGAGAGGTGGGGGCCTCAATTGCCAGCCGGCTCTAGAGGCTTCATCTAGCATTTTCATCCCAGAGATGGACTCCAACTCAGATACCCACAGTGGGGTAGATTTGAGCTCCACAGCTTCCTGGGGTCTGTACTACCTGGGGAGAAAAAGACAGGTGGGGTGGGGCTTAAAGAAGGATGTGGTGGCAGACGCCTTTAATCCCAGCACAGGCAGGCGAATCTCTGTGAGTTCGAGGCCAACCTTGTCTGCAGAGTGAGTTCCAGATCATTCAGGGCCACACAGTGAGAACCTGTCTCCAGAAAAAAATCTGGAAAACCTATCTGGGAAACACAACAACAAACTCTCTCTCACCAGAAGACACAACACAATGTCTCAGGTTCCAACTGGGAAATACATAGGCAAGTCTGGGGACAGTGTTCAGCATCTCACAATGCACAGTACAGCCTTCAACAGTGCCAAGGAGGCACAGAAGGAAGAATGGAGTGTGCCTGCCTGTGGGAGGGTAGCCTGGAAGGCTGTGCCTGGTGTATCTTGGGTGGAGGGGGAGGGAGTTCTAACCCTTCGGCAGTACAATTTTACCCCTTGCTTGGTAGCCACGTTCAAAGCTACAGGTGACCATGTGATAATTCTAGGTTTTCTGTTTGTTTGTTTGTTTTGAGACAGGGTTTCTCTGTAACTTTGGAGCCTGTCCTGAAACTAGCTCTTGTAGACCAGGCTGGCCTCAAATGACAATTCTAGGTTTTTAAAAGTGTGAAAATTCATCAGTGAAACTTTTAATATAATCTACCTACTATGTGCCCTCTTCTGTTTTTGTTTTTCTCTCTCTGTATTGCATGCATGTGTATGCATGTTTGCATGCGTATGCATGCTTATGTCATTTGTATGCATGTTTTCGTGTGTGTGCATGCATATGTCTACGTGTATAAGGCCCTGGGATGCTGTAAGGACTCATCCTCTGTCACTATTCCACCTCATTTGTTGAGGCAGGCTCTATCAATCAAACCCAGAGCTAGCTGATATGGTTAGCTTTGCTAGCTGGCTTGTTCTGGGGATTCTGTTGACTCAGCCTTCCAAGGCTGGAATCTTAAGGAGGCTGCCACACCCACCCTGCATTTATGCGGGTTCTGGGGAAACGAACTCTGCTGAGTCATTTCCTCAGATGCTCCTATCCTTCCCCTTCTCCGTGCCTCACCATCCCGACTCTCAGTTGTCTGGGTCTTTAGGTCCCCGGAGCAGGGCAGATGACTGACTGAAAGAACTCCTGGAGTCCAGTTTTTGTTCTTTGTGGGGCTCAGTAATTCCAAATCACTATGGCAAGAAAGCCCTCTGACTGGATTTGTGACAGCGCCACCCACTTTCTTCAGGGCAC